ACACTTTTCAGGAGTGAACTAAATTTGTCTTTAAAAAACCCAGCACACATCCCAATCACAATTTCATACTATGCATTATCACTTGTAATTTATCTCAGTGAAACTGGTATGTAATTATCATCCCTATTACTCTATAACTAATCCCCTTCCACATGAAAGGTTTCCTTTTTAGTTGACTGAAAGGTTGATTCTATATAATACAGGCATTGGGTGGCCCAAGAACATCACTTCCAAACCACAGTCATACCCTATTATCACCAAGGAACAGAATACCACAGATCAGACTCCATTTTCCTGTAGTGCATGTATAATTCAAGGATGCCTGCACCGGTTTTCTATTAGGACAATACTAGCAGAAGAGAGGCAGACAATTAAATCAGTTCTTTTATTTAAAATGTAAGAAAATTCAAGGTCAGTGGACATATGTGCAGCCCATCATGGATCAGGATAAGCCCTGATGTGGTGAACTCATAAGACAATTTGATGTCACAGGTCACTTCAAAGGCTGTCCTGTGCATAAGTGCATCAAAATGAACAAATTAGTGCCAGGCTAGTTGCACTAGTGCACTCTCTCTCCTCATTCATCTGCAGCCTCTCCTCAACTATGTCAGCATGGTAGGACCAATATCTTTGCTGTCATTTGCTACAGGTTCCTCCTGAGTTGAAAGGGGTGTCACAGAGTGTGGAGCAAACATTGATGCTTCCTCAGGCAGCACAAACTAAGTTTTCCGGTGGCTAGTGCACAAGTTTTTTGTTTGGGAGGAGGTTTGAGGGGATGAGATATGTCACTTAATGTGGGTCATTCCCGGCCCCTCCTTTGGTCCCACCCACAGTGGGCAGCATAAATAATTCGCAGATGCATAAGAAAAGGAGCAAAATCCTACTTAACCCTCTTCTTCCCAAGTATGGACTCACCATGGCTTTCTAAAGGGATTTGTTCTCCTCCACTGTGTGGTCTCCCAGTCTACCCATCAGTTTATCCTGTAATTGTTTCTGTTACGTAATCCCTTTTCCATGCAGCTGGTGAAAATAACATGATTCTAACAATTTAACCTTTGCATGTACAAATATGCTTCTTAATAAAAGGAACTATAGTTATGTGAACTTTTAACACTGTAAACCAGTGTTTCTCAAATGTGGCCACCAGGAGCTTTTCTTGCAGCCACAACCTCCTGGGTGGTGCGGGGGGGGAGAAGGGGGAAAAGCAGTGGCTCCTCCCCCGGGGCTGCCTTTAGGGGTTGGTCCCTATCCCCTTCTGGAGTCAGAAACACTGTAGGAGCAGGCAACCAGTGTAAGTTCCCCAACTTCCCAGGGGTGATGGGCCTTGGGCTTCAGGTTTCCGGCCTGGGGTGGTGGACAGCAGGCCTCTGGCAGGCTCTGTCCCCCAGCCGCAGGGTTTTGGGCTCCATCCCTGGACTCATCCTCTGTCATCACCTCAACCCCCGCTGCCTCCTCCAGCCTCTCATCGCTCCTGAACCCCCTGCCTCCTGACCCACCTCATCATACAGGGCTTAATTTGTCCCCCAGCATGCTGGTGCTGAGTAAGTCTGCTGTGAAAAGTCTTATTAACAAATATACAGATATCACTTTTCATAGTAGCAGACTTACTAACTAGCAATCTAAAAAAAAATCAAAACACGCAAAGCACCTTATTTTTGTTTCTATTTTGTTTAGGTCCAGTAAAGAAGAGAGACAACTGTACATTATTTTTATTATTGAGTCTGAAAAAAAGAACCCTACAGAAATGTGGACATGTATATGTGCATATTTATTTGTTTTTCCTAAAGTTAAATATTTTAGGAAAAATTGTCAGAGCAGCCTCCAGCAAGAGTTGGTGGCCACCAAAAAATGTGTTGTGAGAACCCCTGCTGTAAACACTGTAGGAGAGAGATAAGAACTGTCACTTTTCTACAACTGGTCTTCTTAGAAAAATGCAAACCCGTGCAGCCCGCAGGGATTGAACATTTTCAGTACAGTTTCAGATTCGTTCTGTAAACTGCACTTTTCAGTCCAGCGGATTGTACAAATGATAGCTAGTGAACGTGCCAAGCACATTCAATGAAACTTTTATTCAAGTTAGGAATTTGCATATTAGTGCGGATAGATAACCTCAGCCCAAACCCTGAACTAAACCACAGCCTTTTGCCAATTTTCAGATTGATCTGGTTGCATTTTATTTTACAAGCTTCTCCAGCTTTTGCATGCCTCTCCAGCCAGCTGTAAAAGAGTTACCTTCCAGATTCCTTACCACATAAAATCACTCAGTTGCACCAGAAAATTGATATCTATGATGAGAATTATATAAGAAATATCATTCATGACTCTCTAAGGATGATGTGGAATAGAATTAAAATTGTGATAATTAATATGCAACAATCCCCACACACATTTTTTGTCTCTGCTTCTTTGGATACATTTTCATCCTCCAAATGCTGAATGGGAGTATGGGACTGCTTGTGCTTAAATTTAAGCATATATGTAAGTCCTTTTCTGGATTGGGGCCAGAGTGCTTAGCACCTTGCAAGACTGAGACCTTATAGAGAAGCAAAAAATAGAAATTTTTAAATTTAAATCCATGGAACTGAATCAGTGAGAGAGGAAAATCAGGCATACTGTGTCTGTGGATGACTCCAGAAATAGAGGAGAAAACTGTAGCAATTTCATGTTATGCCTCTAGAACAATCGTAACAAGTCCCTCAGCAGGTGCCAATCTTTGCATAGGGGTGAGGCCAGTGGCCTGCCCCATCCACATATGCTCCCTCTTGAGCCTGGAGTACTGCAGACAGCAAGGGCTAGCCTCTAGCAGCTGAGCTAGGGCTGCCTCCTGATCCGTTCAGTGGCTCAGGATTTTGGCAGTGGGATGCAGGACCAACCAGACTGGGCTGAATGTACCAGCTTTTCCAAATGGCCTTTGTGAAACAAATTGGTGGTCTTAGTCAAGTGCCATTCATCACAAAAGCTACCATCATGATGGCTGGCATGGCTGCCTCTGGTTTTTTTTTGGCATGGAGACTGAATTTCTTATCAGCGTGGTTCCTCCAAGCCAGTTCTGAAGTATATTGGCAAAGCACCTTTATTCCACAGTTTGTATCATGCCTGCCTCATGAAGGACTTATTTCTAGAAATGTTCGCTCTGGCACCTTTAACAGGCCCTAAAATGGAAAGAATTTTTTATGTTTAAAGTAGGTTGACATCTTAAGAGCAAAGTACAGAACATCAAATAGCACATTCATAGAGGACCAAAATGAAATGAATTTAAGAACTGAATTCTGATATAGCATTAAACTGCTAAAGAGGGTCTTTGCACTAAGTGCTAAGTACTTTGAGCTACCTTGAACATAAATCAGATTTTTCTGAGTTTGGGTTAATGTGTCATTTTTCTATGTATCAGAATGTCCTTTGTTCTTGAAATTCAGCAGCAGTCCTGCAACCACTGTTCACTTTCTTTTTCTTTTTTTCCAGATTGGTAGATTTACATTATCCTTGATCCCCACAAGCCTGTGCAGGTTTTAATTTCATGTAGAACACATGACTGAGCTGTGCAGAAATTTTCATAGGTTTCCTATCCTGCCTCATCCTTGTGTCTTCATTCCAGAAAATTACATGAATACTTTATTATTATTATTTATTTCTTTTTGGCCCTGAAATAATCTACAGAGCCCAGCTCTGAGATGCATGCTGCTCAGAAACAATTTTGTGCCTGGTGGTAGATCCACTTTGATGAATAAGAAAATTGTTACCAGCTTTGCAGCAGATTAAATACATATTATCTAACTCATCTACTGCTTCAGTTGGTCGCAAAGACTCCAGCCACAATACCAGGAGAAATAAAAACAGCACTTAATCACCCAGGCAGGTTCTTTGAGTTTATCACTGATTTTTGATTAGGCAGAACAAATAGATAAGTACAACTAAAATTGTCTTTCTAATCAATGGACCCCGCATGAAATCAATTCTTCTATTTTATACTGTGGTTGAAAGGAACTTTTCAAGATAAAATTCTTTATTCATATATGTCTTACTGCGCTTATTATTTACAATACTTTACATAATTAAAACAGCAAGAATTGTAAAAAAAATATTTTTTTATAATCACTGTGTTTCTTTGCATTCTACTTTCCATTTATCACAGGCAGCCACATTTGACTAGTCAAATTCACCTTTGTTTATAGTCCATTTCACTTTCAGTTCCTCATGCACCAACCTAAATGCTATTGGGGTCACCAACAGTGCAGGGGAATTTTAAATAAAAGTTTTAAAAAAAATCTTTTCAGTGACCTAAGATCATTGCCTGAAGCTTAGCAAGAGAATTTCCATCTTCTTCCCAAATGGCGAGATTGTCCACCATTTCCACAGCGCCAGCTCAGGCCAGCCTTAGATCTCAATAAAGAACACGCATAAAGCTGGGAATCTGTGCATAGAATGAGGCAGGGGGGTGAGGGCCTGTAGCCAACTCAGCTACACCAACCCTAGTGTAGCAGAACCCTCTCGATGTGAGCTCCAGAGGAAGCTGCAGGCAGGGGAAGTGCGGGCAGTACAGTTCCAATGCAGCCGCCCTGCTAGGGAGGCCAGATGGAGTTAGGAGGCCCCGAAGCTGATGCAGTGGGACAGACCCTATGTACAGATGGTCATCTGGTGGATAACAAGATTTGCGTGGCTCTCAGAGGAGCTAGTTTCTGGGGGCTCCTTAATCAATGGCCTCACAGACTACACTCACTCCTAGGCCTTCCCCAGTTTTTGTCCACACTGATACTCTAAAAATTGAAAGATCATAAGATTATCATTGCTTGGCAGAGTCCATCTAAAATGTATATCCCATTCCCAGAGGTCACAGTTCTACTGAAGGTCATCAACTTGTTTGTGAAAATTACTCCTTTATGTTTTAATTCTGGAGAATGTGCTTCACTGAACTAACTACTGGAGTCTTAACTCCTCTGTGAGAGTTTTCTAGCCTGAGCTATTGGATCTCTAGGAAAGAGGAATACTTCCTTGCCACATACCTTTTTTTTGTTGGTGGGACAAATGTAGAAATTGTCAATGACTGTAGTAATCCCGGGCTGCAGATTCAGCTTTGTATATAATGTTCCAAAATCTGATGACCTGAAAGAAACATTGAACAGCTATAAGTGCTTCCCAAAGGCCCCAGTATTTCAATCATCTCTGAAACATACTTTGTAACACCAAGTGTCTACTTTCAATGCTTTTGTGCCAGCAATTCAGTTTTTTATTTGTTGTGACATCATTAGGTAGTAGAATGGACTTGCAACTACTGAGCAATGCTCAAGGCTTGAGAAAAATTGTTGGCTTCTCTGTATTATCCAATTCTACAAGGTGATAGAGTTGTACTGATGCTATACAATATGCTTACAGTCACAGATGTAAAACACATGCAAAACCACAGGAATTGTTATGACTTCATACACGTCCATAACCACAAGCAGATAAATTGGCACCGATATCTTTAAATAAACCTGTGAAAATGCTTATCATCATTGCAGTACCAGAAGCCTCCACTGCAGTACTAATGGTTATTTACCTAGGGTGTATTTAAAGAGGCTAAATCCTGCTCACCATGAATTTACTGGGAGAAGCTGATTTCAGAGGGAGCTGTGTGCTCAGTGGGAGAAGGATCTAGCACAAGATGTTTAAGATTGAAAGTGAAGTTACTGAAACTATCTGTACTGAAGACATCCACACATCTGTTTCTTTTTCCAATCATCAGTGCAGTACTGAGTAATTAAACAGCAAAGCAAATGCCTGACCTCCAATAGGTCTTAAGCACAAAAGTATGCATATGTGCTACAGCTAAAGGTAGTGTGCATGCACAGCCTTGTTTTCATGGAAGAACTACAATTAGTCAAACCTTTGTGACTGTTTTAAGAACAGTACTTATCACTGCAGTTACTGGAAAAAAGCAAACAATTCGGCAAAAACTATAAGTTAAAAACCTGAACCCTAAACATCCTGGACCAAATCCTGTATGCCTCATTCATGGTTGAGTTGTGCCACATGACCCTCCATATGTGGGATTTTCCCCTCTGAGGGAGCCCGATCAGTGCAGCTCCCAGGAGTTCAGGCCATAGGGGGCACTTGCCTCACATGGATAACTCTCGCCCCCCAGACAATTGTAGAGGAGCCAGTTGGGTTTATGTGCAAGCCCCTGTGACTTGGGAGGAAAACAAATCCTACCTTCCAATGGAACAATTTGAGAGAAAATTCAGCAAGGTTATTTGATTCCCGATAGCCACATTCTGCTCACACTCTCTATTGTCACCTACTCCTTACCCCTTCAAAAGGTGGCTCAAAGCTTAAGAGCTGCTTGAAATTACACCAGTTAGAATGGTCCTCTTGAGCCCCCTTTGCTGTGAATTGTCCAGAGCACTGCATGGTTTAGCCATAGCTCCTCCTACCTTGGTCATGCCCTAGTCCAACCAGGGATGTGTCTGATGCTGGGGAATGGGGAGTAGGTCGTATAGAGACAGCTATGCCCATTTTACACCATCCAGAGATTCCCCTAAATCAAAAAAATACATAGCTGCCCTCTTAGGGCAGCTTTCTGTTTTCTTTGCACTGCCAGAGTGGCATAACAGGGATGAAGTCATGGGGCAGGATCTTGCCCATGGTAACAATCAACAGGACATTTAATACTTCCATTAATTCCCTTCTCTCTTCACCAACCCAGAAAAAAAGTAAGGCAAGGACTGTTACATGTTATGTATTTATACTGACTGATCTAGGCTTCTGCGTATGCACACATACTCAGCACCCTCATGCATATATTGATATTGCTTTGGGACCAAATTTCAGATTTATATATGTTTATAGTGATATCTGTGTGGCTTTGATCCATTCATTGTACAGTGTTGCATACCGTGCAGCTATATAATGATATATTTATAAAATAAATGTAATAGCAATTCAGGTTGGACAAACAGTTACGTAGAAATCAAATACATAGTGTCAGTCTAACTAAAATTCAGAATAAAATAAGAATGGACAGACTCTAAACTTAATTTGGTTGAGGTAATGGATAAAACAGTAATTAAAGTTACAACTAAAACCTGCTGGCATCAGGCAGGCATATTGAAATTATACTGAACCAAATGCAAGTCATGACAGGGAACTAGTGCCTTCTGTAGGGATAGGAATGCCAGGCCATTGACTTGCCCAGGGGCAAGTTCCTGACAAAATTCTTTTAAAATTCTCCAATTTTCATAGAGAGATGGTTCCAAGATTCCTACAAAAGAGCCATCAGAGAGTACCAACTCAGGAGGAACTATGTCTCCATTTGTATCAAGGTAACAACTGAATGATGCAAGCAGAGAAGAACAAAGAAGATAGCCCATTTCAAAGATACTTGTCCAAAGATTCCTGCTTAGTCTCACTACTCAGAGTAAAAGACATGAATTAAGTGAATAAAGTTGTCATAAAAGAGGAGGTTATGACTTCTGAGCTATTTCCAGACTAAGGCAAGATAATTTTAAATAGTCAAATTCTTGATTTTCTGGGACACACTAGCTATGAAAAAACGTTTGCAGAAAATCCAAGAAGAGTTTCAAGCAGATGTATGTATGGTCTAAATTCATCTTAATATCTGTACTGTGCCCAAGCAGAAGGGTCCAGATTGGCAGAGGTGTTGTGTGGAGGGCTCTTGCTGTGTCCACAAAGTTTATTTGGAACTCTGCCTGGAGCGGAGAAGGAATATCATCATACCTTATGCTCTGACCAGCAACCACATTTGCCAGCACATATGGTTCAAGGAAAAATGAGGATGTTCTGTCCTAATCTGACAACAACTGGAATTTCTACAGTCCAGAGAGAGCAGATCACATGACAAAATGAGAGCATGTGTTCCAACATGAGCAAATTGGACAAATTTATATTCAGGAAGATTAGAGTGCAAGGTTAAACAAACTTCTTACTGTGCTCCCCCCCATGCAATACCACTAGGTCATACTCTCTCTGTCCTTCCAGCTGCAGGATCCTTATATTAGAATCATAGAACTGGAAGGGACCGCGAGAGGTCATCTAGTCCAGTCCCCTGCACTCAAGGCAGGACTACATATTAGCTAGACTATCCGTGACAGGTGTTTGTCCAACCTGCTCTTAAAAATCCCCAATGATGGAGATTCCACAACCTAGGCAATTCTAACCACTCTGACAGGTTAGGACATTTTTCCTAATGTCCAACCTAAAACCGCCCTTGCTGCAATTTAAGCCCATTGCTTCTTGTCCTATCCTCAGAGGTTAAGAAGAACAATTTTTCTCCCTCCTCCTTGTAACAACCTTTTATGTCTTGAAAGCTGTTATGTCCCCTCTCAGTCTTCTCTTCTCCAAACTGAACAAACCCATGTTTTTCAATCTTCCCTCATAGGTCATGTTTTCTAGACCTTTAATCATTTTTTGTTGCTCTTCTCTGGACTTTCTATAATTTGTTCACATCTTTCCTGAAATATGGCACCCAGAACTGGACACAATACTCTAGTTGAGGCCTAATCAGTGCAGAGTAGAGTGGAAGAGTTATTTCTCGTGTCTTGCTTACAATACTCCTGCTAATACATCCCAGAATGATGTTTGCTTTTTTTGCAACAGCGTTACACTGTTGACTCATACATAGCTTGTGATCCACTATAACACCCAGATCCTTTTCTGCAGTACTCCTTTCTAGGCAGTCATTTCCCATTTTGTATGTATGCAACTGATTGTTCCTTCCTAAGTGGAGTACTTTGCATTTATTCTTATTGTATTTCATCCTATTTACTTCAGACCATTTCTCCAATTTGTCCAGATCATTTTTAATTTTAATCCTATTCTCCAAAGTATTTGCAACCCTTCCCCGCTTGATATCATCCACAAACTGTAAAAAGTAACAGAGGGTCCTGTGGCACCTTTAAGACTAACAGAAGTATAGGGAGCATAAGCTTTCGTGGGTAAGAACCTCACTTCTTCAGATGCAAGATCCACAAACTGTAAAAGTATACTCTCTATGTCATTATCTAAATCATTGATGAAGATATTGAACAGAACCAGACCCAGAAATGATCTCTGCGGGACCCCACTTGTTATGCCCTTCCATCATGACTGTGAACCACTGATAAATACTCTCTGGGAATGATTTTCAAACCAGTTATGCACCCACCCTATAGTAGCTCCATCTAGGTTGTATTTCCCTAGTTTGTTTATGAGAAGGTCATGTGAGTCAGTATCAAAAGATCTTACTAAAGTCAAGATATACCACATCAACCACTTCTCCCCCATCTACAAGGCTTGTTACCCTGTCAAAGAAAGCTATCAGGTTGGTTTGACAATATTTGTTCTTGACAAATCCATGCTGACTGTTATTTATCACATTATCTTCTAGGTATTTGTAAATTGATTGCTTAATTATTTGCACCATTATCTTTCCAGGTACAGAAGTTAAGCTGACTGGTCTGTAATTCCCCGGGTTGTCCTTATTTCCCTTTTTATAGATGGGCACTACACTTGCCCTTTTCCAGTCGTCTGGAATGTCCCCAGTCTTCCATGACTTTTCAAAGATAATTGCTATTATTGACATCCTTCTTCTCTCCACTAAGGAGAATCCAGTTCTCTATCCTTACCACAGCCTTCTTTCACCACTCTAGTCACCTTGTCACTCTACTCAAACTCTGTCATTCTTCCCCACTTCAACATCCTTCCACTATACCAGCATGGATTCTCATTCATATATGGAAGAACAGTCAAGTTCCACATGACGGTCTTCTCTCTTTGGACAACTATTTCCGGGGCAACCAAAATTGTAAAGAAAGACAGTAGAATCCATGGAGAACCCAACATGTCCTGCTGTCTTCAATGAATCGACCTATCTTCACCTTGATTTCAATGGAACTATGACAATTTACACTAGCTGAGGATATGCCCCAAAGTTGCTCGGCAGAGATATTTTGCCCTCAGAAAGTGATTGAATGTGTCGACTACAAAGTATTACTAGGACATATTTGGATTCTCCCAAAGGTTTAAGTGACATTTAGAAGCACCGTATTTGAAATAAGGTTGCCATCAATGTGTTTGATGGTCTTTTTAAAAAATGAATAGATTTACACACTGTTAAAATAATAGGC